AATGCAAGGTTGGTTTAACATCTGAAATTAATATAATATGCCATAATTAATACAATGAAGGACAAAAACCGTATGATCATCTCAATAGGGGCAAAAAGAAAAAGTCTTGGACAAAATCTAACAGTTGCATGATAAAGATGCTCACAAACTAAGAACAGAAGGGAACTTTTTGATAAAGGGCATCTATGAAAAAACCACAGCTAACATGACATTTAATGCTGAAAGACTGATCGCTTTCCTCCTTAGATCAGGAACAAGACAAGAATGTTCACTCTTGCCTCTTCTCTTTAACATTATACTGCATATTAAGTGAGGGCAACTAGACAGGGAAAAGAAATAAAAGACATTCAGATGGAAGAGACGAAGTAAAAGTATCTCTGTTTGCACATGACCTTGTATATAAATCGTGTACGTAATGTGATCTTGTATACAGAAATACCAAGGAATCCACTGAAAAATTATTAGGACTAAAAGAATGAGTTCACCAAATTTACAGGGTACAAGATCAATATATAAAAATCAATTTTCTATATTCTATACACTAGAAAGCCACATTCTGAAAATGAAATAAGAGTGCAATTTCATTTAAAATAGCATAAAAATACTGATAAATTTAACAAGACTTATACACTGAAAACTAAAACACATTGTGGAAAAAAATCAAAGAAGATCTAAATAAATGGAAAGACACTGTACATTTCCATTTCTTGTCTTTATGGGTTGAAACACTTCATATTGTTAAGAGAGCAATATTATTCAAATTGATCTACAAGTTCAACACAATCCCTATCAATGTCTCAGCTGGATTTTTTGCAGACATTGACAAACTGATTATAAAATTCATTCGAAAATGCAAGGGGACCAAAATAGCCAAAACAATCTTGGAAAAGAACAAAGTGAGAAGACTCACACTTTTCTATTTCAAAACTTAGTACAAAGCTACAGTAATCTTGACAGTGTAGCATATTACTAGACATATACATCAATGGGATAGAATTGAGAGTTCAGGAATAAGTTTGACATATATGGTCATCTGATTTTTGACAAGGGTACTGAGACAATTCAACAGGGAAAGAATCAACTTTTCGAAAAATGGTCCTGGACAATTGGATATTCACACGCAAAAGAATGAAACTGGAACCTACACCACACTACACATAAATATTAAAAATGTATCACAGACCTAAATGTAAGAGCTAAAATTATAAAACTCTTAGAAGGAAACATATGTGTAAATCTTGACAGTGGTTAGTTTATGGTTTCCTAGATAGGAGACCAAAAGTGCAAACAACAACAACAACAAAATAGATAAACTGAACACAATAAAAAATTTCAGTTGCAAATCATAGTATCAAGAAAGTGAAAACACAACTCTGAAAATGGGAGAAAGTATTTGCAAATCATATATCTGATAAGGGACTTGTATCCAGTATACAAAGAACTCTTATAACTCAATAATAGCAAGTCAAATCACCCAATTAAAATTAAGCAAAGGATCTGAATAGACATTTCTCCAAAGAAGATATACAAATGGCCAATAAGCACACAAAAAGATGCTCAATGTCATAAGTAGTCAGGGAAATGCAAATCAAAACCACAATGAAATACAACTTCACACTTACTAGATTAGCCATAATCAAAAGACAGTAACAAGTGTTGAAGAGGCTGTGGAGAAATTGGAACCTTCATATACTGCTGGAGGCAATGTAAAATGGTACAGCCGCTTTGGAAAACTGGCAGTTCCTTAAAATATAACATAACAAAGATAGAGTTACCATACGACCCAGCAATTCCACTCCTAGATATATACCCAAGAGAAATAAAAACATATGTTCACAAAAACTTTTACCTGAAGTTCACGGCAGCACCGTTCAGAGAGTCAAGAGGTAAAAATAACCCAAATGTCCATCAACTGATGGATGGATAAATAAAATGTGGTATATTAATACAGTGGGATATTATTTGGCAATAAGAAGAAATGAAGTACTGATACATGCTACAACATGGATGACCCCTGAAAACATTATGCCAGGTGAAAGAAGCCAGTCACAAAAGGCGTGTTGTGTTGTATGATCCCACTTATACAAATTCTTCAGAATAAGCAAAGCTACAGAAGCAGAAAGTGAATTAGTGGACTCCTAGGGCTAGGAGTCAGGGGTTGAGAAGGATGGGAACAGGGAATGATGGTTGCAGAACACAATGAATATACTGAAAAACAACGAATTGTACACTTTCGATGGGTGAATTTTATGGCATGTTAATTAAATGTCAATAAAGCTGTTTTAAAAAATAGAAATAATGGGCTTCCCGGGTGGCACAGTGGTTGAGAGTCCGCCTGCCGATGCAGGGGACGCGGGTTCGTGCCCCGGTCCGGGAAGATCCCACATGCCACGGAGCGGCTGGGGCCGTGAGCCATGGCCGCTAAGCCTGCGCATCCGGAGCCTGTGCTCCGCAACGGGACAGGCCACAACAGTGAGAGGCCTGCGTACAGCAAAAAAAAAAAGAAAAGAAAAGAAAAGAAAAGAAATAATGACTCTAACTGCACGTTTTCAGAAATCATTATTACTTGGTCTTCTTAGAACCTAGATGCAGCCCTAAGCTGAAAGGCTCAAAAGAGCCTGAAATCAAGAAAGAAAAGCAAGCTAACTTGTGGCCTATAGTGCTGATCTTTACAAAAGCCCAAACTGAGCAACAAGTATAAACTATCAGACTCTGTGCTATTGACTGCTTAGACTCAAACAGATTTTCCCCGTTAAGCATTTACGATGGGAATCCTCTTCGCCACTGTAATCCCTAGCAGCCACTCTAGACTTTAACAACTAGTAGATGCCTGAGATCACACAGAACAAAAGATCTTCACACCACTTATGAAGCCAGTGGCAAACAGCTAACGAGGAGTGAACAAAATACTTGGAAGGGTAGAGGGTTTGACATTGTCAGACTCAGAGAAGAACACCAACATGAATATAAAACTTAAGAGATGGCAACCAAATGTTCTGTTTTTGTTGTTTTTTCATTTTCATTTGGAATCTAAAGGCAAAACTTAAGGGAAATGGAGTGATAGTAATACACTTAGAGGATATAAATGGATATCATGAGAAAACTGCTCCGCTCTTAACAGTAAAAAACTTCAGTCATAGCAACTATCATCCCTTAACCAACAAAACAAAACCAAAAAAAACCCTCTACTCATGATGTCTGAATTGGTCACTCCAAGATACACGAACTTTTAATCAACTTAACGGAGGACCTGTAATTTAAGTATAACACCATTCCATGAGAGAGTTCTCTGAAATATCTTTCATGGTCAAGCATAACTTTTTGTTTAAATTACTTATAAATAAACTGCCCAATCTCTTGACATGATTAGTCATTGTATTAGGAATTACATATTAGAAATTACAGCAATCTGGGTATTTTTTGCTATACTGGGTTAAGAGTTAGGAAGGTCACATTTTAGTATTCTACTTTGCTTCTTAGGCATCATTTATGTAACGTTCCTTGATTTTTAAAAATGCAAAATTCACTTTTCTAATATTAACCCTAACAATACTTTGTGGCTAAAGAACTAAATTCAGGGCAGTACTTTATACCTGTTGTATTGGAGCACTGATCTAACTCTATGCTTTGCCTGCGCTGAAATTTAAAAATATAACTCTTCCTTGAAATGAAAGAAGTCACACTGCTTTAAAGTAAGACAAAGGAAAGTAAGCCTTAATTGCACAAAATAGTTTACTAAAATTAAGATCCTAATCAACACTCCCCCTCAAATTCCCAAAAAGCTATCAACATGAAGTCTCTTCTGTTCGGCAGCAGCGCTGTACAACCTTGTCAATGACAGTAAGGGAAGGTGTGATCTTTTTTGGATTCTGATTCCTCTCCTTTGCCGACGGCTGGTTCTCCTGAGGCATTAACATAAGCCGGAGCAAAGCTTACGATATTTCAGGGAGTGAAGCTCTACAATATAAACAAACTCATGCTGGGGGAGGCTGGAATGGTAGAATGCTATCCAGTTAGAGACATCCTGGAGCAGATTAAAACAACAACAACAAAAAAAAGAACCCTTCATCTCTGCCCTGTCATTTCCTTTCAGCAAGATCCTGTTGATGTTTACACAATTTGAAAAGTGTATCAAATATCTCAAGGAATAACGTAAATGCCCCCTTTGAGGTTTTGTTTTTTAATTCTTGATGGAAAAACATATCAAAATAGTATCTTTTAAGTATGTTTCATTATCCAATCACAAGTACCGCCACCAAAAAGTTGTTTATCCCTACACTACTGGAGAAACGCCAGACGTACCTTCCTTCCTTTTTTTTTTTTAAAAAAAGAAAATGTTAAAAAGAGACTTAAAACAGGGCAGTACAGCTCAGAAACATTACACGCGTTTCCATCAAACGATCTTTAGTCCTGAATAACCGGGTTCATGAAATGTTTCCCCAAGTTTTATAGCTTGTGTCTAATAAACAAGTATCATTTGAAACAATTAAGCTTTTTTCTCTTGGTTATTAAGTATTCAGCGTTCTGCCAGGATAAAAGAAGGCAAACAGCACTTCTACTCCGAAACACAAACCATAAATCAGTTGACAAGCTTGAAAGAATTCAGTTCTAGTCTGTTCGGAAGCCAAGTGTAAATACAGAAAAACCTGCTGGCGAGTTTATCTTGCTCTTTAAGTTTCGCGTTTTTAAAACAAAGCAATACGCCAATGGCGTTTCTCGTAAATTTCAGGCTCAGAAAAGATTCAGAGAAACACGAAAGCGAGGCATCTCGGAGAGAAAATGGAGCCTGTGCCTTTAAGGTAAAATCGGCTGGATCCCAAAAGGCATTCCACTTTTCCACGACAAAGAGTTTGGGGGAGCGCTACCTCTCGGGTTTCTCGGAGGGACTTGGCGGGTTCGGGCAGAGCCCGGCTCGCCGAGGAGCCCTCGACCGCCCAGGCTGCCCCGAGCCAGCTCAGCACCCGCGGGGCGGGAGCGCATCGCGTGCGCCCCGGACTCACCGCTGCTGGGCTGCGGGGACAGCGTGGAGACAGAGGTCTGGCCCATGTCTCGGGTCGCAGGGCCAGGTCGGGCGATCACGCGGCTCTTTTGGTCCTTGGATCATGGGTCCGCTCGCAGACAGATTCCCAAGCGTTCATTTCCCGGTCCGTGCGGAGCTGCCCGCCGGGTCCCCTCACCTTCGCGGGTCTCCCAGCCCGGCCGGCCGCAGCCGGCGCGGCGGATCCTGCGCAGCGGATGCCTGTCATTCCTCTATGCAGATTAGCTGGGGTCAAGGGTCACGGGGGAGGAGAGAGGGGGAGTGGGCGACTGGGGAGGTGGAATGAGGGGGGCGAGGAAGTGGGGAGGGGAGAGGCCCGGGCTGGTCCAGCCGCGCCTGCGGGGGCTGTGAGACCCGCGACCCCCCGCAGAGTAGCAGAGAGTACGGGTGACTCCCGTTTAACTTAAAAGGTTCCCTGTCAAATGATCCTTTAAGGCTGGAAGAAAAGGAATTAAAGTACTTAGTCACGGTACTTAATTTAAGAAAATTTGTTTCGTTAAAGCTAGTTCCTTCCTCACATTGTTTGCTGATATATGTGTGCATTTTTTTTCCTTTTAAAAGTTTTCTTCCTTTTAACAAGTGGAATTTTAAAAAGCAGTATTAGTGGCCTCAATCAGGTTGAACAATAAATCTGAATGATGGATCTATGTGTGAGATCAACAAAGTATACACTTTGCTCTCTACCACCTAGACTCTGGGAAGTTCACCTCTCCTATATTCAGAAGAATCACTGTGAGACTATCAAACTGCGTAGTAAGGTGTTTAAAATATACAAAAGGTGAAAACAACAGTAATTTATTTTAGAAGCCAACATTCCATAAAAGTTAAATTAAATCCTACTGTAATTAAATCTCAACTGCAAACTCCTTAAAAATATGAATACAAATAAATACTGTTAATGTGAAATCTAGATGCCATATCTATCTCCATCTATCTGTCGATCACTCTATAGATAGATCGATAGATAGATGGAGATAGATATGGCATTAGACTGGATGGTGGTTACATAAATGTGGTTCATTTTAAGAAAATTCATTTAATTGTATACTATGATTTGTGCATTTTTCTGAATGTATATGTTTCATTAAAAAGTTATTTTTGAGGCTTCCCTGGTGGCGCAGTGGTTGGGAATCGGCCTGCTAATACAGGGGACTCTGGTTCGAGCCCTGGTCTGGGAGGATCCCACATGCCGCGGAGCAACTAGGCCCGTGAGCCACAACTACTGAGCCTGCGCGTCTGGAGCCTGTGCTCCGCAACAAGAGAGGCCGCGATACTGAGAGGCCTGCACACCGCAATGAAGAGTGGCCCCCCCTTGCCACAACTAGAGAAAGCCCTCACACAGAAACGATGACCCAACACAGCAAAAATAAATAAATAAATTACTAAACTCTTACCCCCAACATCATCTTTAAAAAAAAAAAAAGTTTTTTTTAAGTGTTGTTTTTTTTTTTCTGGCCAGGCCACTAGGCTTATGGGATCAAACCCAGGGCCCCGGCAGCAAGAGTACCGAGTCCTAACCACTGGCCACCAGGGGATTCCCAAAAAAGAGTATTTTTTTAATTTTTAAATTTGTTTTTATTGGAGTATAGTTGATTTACAATGTTGTGTTAGTTTTTGCTGTACAGCAAAGTGAATCAGTTATACATATGCATATATCCACTTTTTTAGATTCTTTTCCCATATAGGTCATTAGTATTGAGTAGAGTTTCCTGTGCTATACAGTAGGTCCCCATTTGTTATCTTTTTTATATATAATAGTGTGTATATGTCAATCCCGATCTCCCAATTTATCCGTCCCCAACAGTGTATTTTTAAAAAAACTATATTTAGCTCACTTGCCACAGCTTTCACTTTTTAGGTTATCCTAGACATTCAACTCTGAACTATTAAAAATCTATATAGTATATAATCATTAGAAAAATGCAAATCAAAACTACAATGAGGTATCACCTCACACTGGTCAGAATGGCCATCATCAAAAAATCTACAAATAATAAGTGCTTGAGAGGGTGTGGAGAAAAGGAAACCCTCCTACACTGTTGATGGGAATGTAAATTGGTGCAGCCAGTAGGAGAACGGTATGGAGGTTCTTTAAAAAACTAAAAATAGAGCTACCATATGATCCTGCAATCCCAGTCCTGGGCATATATCAAGAGAAGACCATAATTCGAAAAGATACATGCACCCCAATATTCATTGCAGCACTATTTACAATAGCCAGGACATGGAAGCAACCTAAATGTCCATCAATGGAGAAATAGATAAAGAAGATGTGGTACAGGGCTTCCCTGGTGGCGCAGTGGTTAAGACTCCACCTGCCAATGCAGGGAACATGGGTTTGATCCCTGGTCCGGGAAGATCCCACATGCCGTGGAGCAACTAAGCCCGTGCGCCACAACTACTGAGCCTGTGTGCCACAACTAGAGCCTGTGCTCTAGAACCCTCGAGCCACAACTACTGAGCCTGCGTGCCACAACTACTGAAGCCTGCACACCTAGAGCCTGTGCTCCGCAACAAGAGAAGCCACCGCAATGAGAAGCCCACGCACCGCAACGAAGAGTAGCCCCTACTTGTCACAACTAGAGAAAGCCCGGGCGCAGCAACAAAGACCCAATGCAGCCAAAAATAAATAAATAAATTATTTTTTTTAAAAAGATGTGGTACATATATACAATGGAATATTACTCAGCCATAAAAAGAAACGAAATTGAGTTATCTGTAGTGAGGTGGATGGACCTGGAGTCTGTCATACAGAGTGAAGTAAGTCAGAAAGAGAAAAACAAATACCGTATGCTAACACATATATATGGAATCTAAGAGAAAAAAAAAAGGGTCATGAATAACCTTGGGGTAAGATGGGAATAAAGACACAGACCTACTAGAGAATGGACTTGAGGACACCAGGAGGGGGAAGGGTAAGCTGGGATGCAGTGAGAGAGTGGCATGGACATATATACACCACCAAATGTAAAATAGATAGCTAGTGGGAAGTAGTCACATGGCACAGGGAGATCACCTCGGTGCTTTGTGACCACCTAGAGGGGTGGGATAGGGAGGGTGGGAGGGAGACACAAGAGGGAGGAGATATGGGGACATATGTATACGTACAGCTGATTCACGTTGTTATAAAGCAGAAACTAACACACCATTGTAAAGCACTTATATTCCAATAAAGATGTTAAAAAAAAAAAAAAAAGATCACATAGACTTGCTTTGTTTTTTTGAAAGACATTTGCTTGTCTGTTTCATCATTTAAGTTGCCCTCTTTTTTTCACACCCAAATAGCCCACCCTCTACTGTGGGGAAAACTTTTTCCCTAGAATAGTGTGATCAATTATCTACTTCCTTTTGACTAATTCACTCTTAAGAAACACTGATTTTTTTTTTTGAGTGGCTAAAAGACTTTATCAAATTATTTAAAATGTTGGTATCTATGTATTCACATGTATACATAAAACAATTACATAGAATCTTCAGATCACTGGGGTGCTAATGGGGTACACACATGAGCCTGGCAGGAACTCAAATGAGACCAGGCTTGGAGGCATAGGGCTTTGGAAAATTGGACGTCCTTCTAAGGACCTGAGAGGAGTGGGGTGACGAGGAAATGGCCACTTCAGGAGTTTGGCTTAACCCCACTGCTCAGAGCTCCACCTCAAGCTCCTTTCCCATCTTCACAGGAAGGGAACCCATCTTCAGACTGTATCCCCACTACATACAAGCCAAGTCCCTAAAATCTTGCTGTGGCAAACACACACAGGAATCCACTGGGCCAGGTCTTTTTTAAATAAATTTATTTATTTATATTTATTTTTGGCTGTGTTGGGTTTCGTTTCTGTGCGAGGGCTTTCTCTAGCTGCGGCGAGCAGGGGCCACTCTTCATCCTGGTGCGCAGGCCTCTCACTATTCGCAGCCTCTCTTGTTGCGGAGCACAGGCTCCAGACGCGCAGGCTCAGTAGTTGTGGCTCATGGGACCAGTTGCTCCGCGGCATGTGGGATCCTCCCAGACCAGGGCTCAAACCTGTGTCCCCTGCATTGGCAGGCAGATTCTCAACCACTGCACCACCAGGGAAGCCCCTGGACCAGGTCTTTATAAATATATTTATATCAGAGAAAAGCAAGGCACTTTGGGAGCATTACGGCTCACTCTCCTACATACATCATTCTGGACAGAAAGTAAAAATTGGTTAGTTTCTCAAGCAAGTTAAATGAGTAAAGTTAATACAATAACAAAATTGTTCCCTAGCCCTTCCTGAGGCACAGGTTGAGGCGCATCTCTAGGTGACACCTGGTCCCAGGTCATCTGGACCCCGGCAGAGCTCAAAAACTGATGCCCCCAGCTATCTATTTTACGTTTGGTAGTGTATATATGTCCATGCCACTCTCTCACTTTGTCACAGCTTACCCTTCCCCCTCCCCATACCCTCAAGTCCATTCTCTAGTAGGTCTGTGTCTTTATTCCCGTCTTACCCCTAGGTTCTTCATGACATTTTTTTTTCTTAGATTCCATATATATGTGTTAGCATATGGTATTTGTCTTTCTCTTTCTGACTTACTTCACTCTGTATGGCAGACTCTAGGTCCATCCACCTCACTACAAATAACTCAATTTTGTTTCTTTTTATGGAAGAGACATATACATATGTATATGTATAACTGATTCACTTTGTTATAAAGCAGAAACTCACACACCATTGTAAAACAATTATACTCCAATAAAGATGAAAATATCAAAATAAAAACAACAAACTGATGCCCCCAGGAAGCCTGACATCTCTGCTGAGCAAAAGCCCCTGGCCTTGGGCCACTGCCCCCTCCCCAGGCCCTGAGGTCAGATGACGGGGGTTGCAGTGGGAGGCATGCGGAAAGCAGAGCTGGGACACAGTGGGAATGCTTAAGCAGGGTCACCAAAGCCACAGAGACTTCAGTCTATCCAAGCTGGTGCTGCAGAGCAGGAGGATCAGCTCCACAAAGAAACCCTGATATGTTTTAACAAAACTGAGGATTAACCAAGATGTGAGTTCTAATTAGGACAATGAAATTAATCCTAACTAAATTTCCTTTTAAAGTGGAAAGCTGCTGTGTTTGGGAACACGTTCCATCTGGGGGGAGTTCAGCAGTGAGAGTAAACAATTATAATGGCTCTTCTATCTCTTCCTTTAAATTGTCTTAAAACAACAACCACCAAAAAAAAAAAAA